GACAAGAGGGACTTCGCCTGACAATCTTATATAAAGTGATCATGGGAAGGATCACCTGGGACCCAAACCTTCAGCAAGACGAGGACAAGATGGAGCGAATTCAGCCTTACTACAAATCCCCCCATTCCGGTTTCGTCACTGGCCTCTTAAAAATATTTGACCCCCCCCCCCCCCTTTAAAGACAGACAAGAGGGACTTCGCCTGACAATCTTATATGAAGTGATCATGGGACTGGTGCCGGCCATCCCAGCAGGCACATACCTCACCCCACAGAAGCTGGGTAGACTGATCAGAGCCAAACGCTCACATTGAACACTGACTTCACCACTGAAAATCCATAAACAATTACACCCGAAACAATAGCAAATGCTTTATCGTGCCTCGGTGCAACACAGTGCAGTATAAACAATCTTTCTTCCCACGCACAATAATAGCTCGGAACCACCTGGACAATGCCCTTGTGGACTTGACATCGGTCAAAAGCTTCAAGGCTGCCCTGGCATCTGCTAGGAGCTGTTAGACTAGCGACACCATTCCCCAAACCGTTGCACAGATGTCAGTATATGGATGCAGCAACGGACACTACCAGAACCAGTACCATATATTTTTTTAAATAGTATAGAACCCATATTATGTTTTTTAAAGTAAAATGCCAAACTCTCTGTTTAGCTGAACTGTACACTTTTTAAATAACTAGCCAATATACCTGTCATTGCTCGGGATTGCATTTGAAAAAAAACTTCTCCAGCCTTTTAATTGACATTGAAATTTATTGCCAAGTAAAAAAAACACCCTTTTGGAAAAAAAAATCAAAGCGCTAATTTGCTTCCTATGAAAACATATTGAAAATATCTTTTGTCAACATTTCCTTCCCTAAGGGGATCCCATTTCCCGATGAGATCCCTTTTTTGATGAGATCCATTTTTCGATGAGATCCCCTTTTTTCGATGATATTCCATTATCCAGAGGTGTCCCGACCTTATTTGGATGCCGATCTTGGTGGTATTCAGGTACCTATGTGTTCCTGATCCAGTCAGAATTCTGACCCCAGAAGGTTCTCGATCCCGGTGGGATCCCAAACCCGGTGAGATCCTGATCCTGTTAAGATTTTGATCCCTATGAGATCCCAATCCTTGTGGGTTCCCAATTCTGTTGGGGTCCCTTTTCCCTTTGTGATCCTGATCCCGGTGTGATCCTGATCCTGGTGTGATCCTGATCCCGGTTGTATCATAATCCCAGCGTGATCCGAAAACCGGTGGGATCCTAGAACTTTTTGGAACATTCTAGATTAAATTTGAACATCTCCTCGAACCGGTAAAAAATGTCTTTACTAAGTAATTATTCTCATATTAATTATACAACTACTTTATTCAAAAATTATACAACTAAGTGCATTACTATAACTAAAGTACGATTAGTTTTGCTTGAGATTGGTAGGGGGGGGGGGGGCATAAAAATCATTCACATAAATTCTGGAGTTAAAATTTAAAATTTCTCCCATTAAAATATCTTTACTAATTCCAAAGATATAGCTAACGATGGTTCTATGTGCCAAGTTCGGTCAAGATCCATCAATCCATGTCAATGCCGTGGAGCAAACCCACCCACAAACAAATACACAAATGTTCACTTTTATAGATAGATTGATTAATATATATGGTATTATTAAAAGGGGGCAACTGACATGTAGATTAAAATGGTTGTTTTGCAATACAAATTTCTCTGAAACACTCTCTGATGTAATGTTCAAATGCTTATATTCAGCTTCTAATCTGATGTTTATGAGTTCAAAGGTCATTTGAAGAACCTGGCGCACTTTAAAGTTCCATCTATAGTCAAGAATTATTTATAAAACAGTAGATGGTGAAACTAACACTTAAGTCAAGAACTATTTACACTAGTGACACTGACAGTTAAAGCAAGAATTATGTTTGACATGGTGATGCTGACAGTTAAATTCCAGGATCTTCTTCTGTCCGGTAGTGGGTCATCTTCTAGCTCTGAATTGTGGGTCATCTTCTATTTCCCAGTAGTGGGTCATCTTCTATTTCCCAGTTGTGAGTCATCTTCTAGTTCCCAGTTGTGGGTCATCTTCTAGTTCCCAGTTGTGGGTCATCTTCTAGTTCCCAGTTGTGGGTCATCTTCTAGTTCCCAGTTGTGGGTCATCTTCTAGTTCCCAGTTGTGGGTCATCTTTTCCTATGCAGATGGTAAAAGATGAAATTTTTAAAAATTATTATTTTTCAACAGCCAGTTTTTCATATTCTAGGACTATGTGTATTTCTTTCAGAAGATTTTATCTGTTTCAGGGCTGAATCCTATCACCTATTTGACCACAACTGTAACAACTTTTCCTCTGAGCTAGCACAGTTCCTGACTGGGAAGGACATACCGGCCCATATAACTAGTCTTCCTCAGGATGTTCTTAGCACGTAAGTCTGTATAGAATTTATCCATGCAATGTTGGTTTATTATTTTAAAAAATCTGGAATTGAGATGTCTCTTATTGTAGGAACACTGAAAGAATTTTTTTGTTAAAATATCTCATGGCTGTAACCGGATCCACTACACCAGTTGACCGATTTACTGTGCCAGCTAACAGACCCACTACACCAATTAACAGATCCACTACGCCAGTTAAGAGATTCCTATGCCAGTTGTACAAAGGATATGCGCCATCAAGGATGGAATACAGTTTTAAAATCTACTTTAACAGTGCCATGTGAAAGACATACTAATATTGAGCCAGTAAATCAAAACAAAAACAAAAGAGTTGGTTGAAAGGTACAGAATGCTAGACAAACTACACCTACATAGACTAATGGTTGAAAAATGGAGACCACATCACAAAATAAAACAGAAATCAATACTGTTGGCAGACATCAAAATGAGACAGTAACACATCACTTCTTTTACTGTCCCACTCTCAGGACTTACGACTTGACCACCTCATGAAAACACCAGACTAAACCAACACTCTATATACTGACAAAGAACAGTTGCAGGGAGTGTGTAAATTCTTCACCGTGGTCGCAGTCCAAAGGAAACATACCCTTATGCCGAAGTCCGAAGGAAACATGCCCTTATGCCGCAGTCCGAAGGAAAGCATGCCCTTATGCCGCAGTCCGAAGGAAAGCATGCCCTTATGCCGCAGTCCGAAGGAAAGCATGCCCTTATGCCGCAGTCCGAAGGAAAGCATGCCCTTATGCTGCAGTCTGAAGGAAGCATGCCCTTATGCTGAAATGAGCATGTCCAAATGGCCACTAGATCTAAATGATGATGATAATATACCAGTATGTAATCTAATATCAGTGTTGATGAAGGCAGACAGGGGTCAATCAGCTGACTAACATGTGGTCAATCAGCTGACTAACCAGTGGTCAATAAACTTACATAATACCATTCAGGATTTTTGATATACAACTAGACAGGATGCTTTAATTAGAAAGGATTTTGACATACAGACAATATGTTTGACATACAGCCAGGCAGAATGTTTGACATAGATCGTGTGGAGCAGGACGTTTGACATAGATCGTGTGGAGCAGGATGTTTGACATAGATCGTGTGGAGCAGGACGTTTGACATAGATCGTGTGGAGCAGGATGTTTGACATAGATCGTGTGGAGCAGGATGTTTGACATAGATCGTGTGGAGCAGGATGTTTGACATAGATCGTGTGGAGCAGGATGTTTGACATAGATCGTGTGGAGCAGGACCTGTCTACCTTGGGGTGTTGGTAGGGATGCATGAAATTAATTGGCAGGTCAAATCATGTAGAGGAGCTTACTCAAATCTGCCTTTGATCAATATTCTCTCATGTAGCGGAGCTTACTCAAATCTGCCTTTGATCAATATTCTCTCATGTAGAGGAGCTTACTCAAATCTGCCTTTGATCAATATTCTCTCATGTAGAGGAGCTTACTCAAATCTGCCTTTGATCAATATTCTCTCATGTAGAGGAGCTTACTCAAATCTGCCTTTGATCAATATTCGCTCATGTAGAGGAGCTTACTCAAATCTGCCTTTGATCAATATTCTCTCATGTAGAGGAGCTTACTCAAATCTGCCTTTGATCAATATTCTCTCATGTAGAGGAGCTTACTCAAATCTGCCTTTGATCAATATTCTCTCATGTAGAGGAGCTTACTCAAATCTGCCTTTGATCAATATTCTCTCATGTAGAGGAGCTTACTCAAATCTGCCTTTGATCAATATTCGCTCATGTAGAGGAGCTTACTCAAATCTGCCTTTGATCAATATTCTCTCATGTAGAGGAGCTTACTCAAATCTGCCTTTGATCAATATTCTCTCATGTAGAGGAGCTTACTCAAATCTGCCTTTGATCAATATTCTCTCATGTAGAGGAGCTTACTCAAATCTGCCTTTGATCAATATTCGCTCATGTAGAGGAGCTTACTCAAATCTGCCTTTGATCAATATTCTCTCATGTAGAGGAGCTTACTCAAATCTGCCTTTGATCAATATTCTCTCATGTAGAGGAGCTTACTCAAATCTGCCTTTGATCAATATTCTCTCATGTAGAGGAGCTTACTCAAATCTGCCTTTGATCAATATTCTCTCATGTAGAGGAGCTTACTCAAATCTGCCTTTGATCAATATTCTCTCATGTAGAGGAGCTTACTCAAATCTGCCTTTGATCAATATTCTCTCATGTAGAGGAGCTTACTTAAATCTGCCTTTGATCAATATTCTCTCATGTAGAGGAGCTTACTCAAATCTGCCTTTGATCAATATTCTCTCATGTAGAGGAGCTTACTCAAATCTGCCTTTGATCAATATTCTCTCATGTAGCGGAGCTTACTCAAATCCGCCGTTTATCACTATTCTCTCATGTAGAGGAGCTTAGTCAAATCTGCCGTTTATCACTATTCTCTCATGTAGAGGAGCTTAGTCAAATCTGCCTTTGATCACTATTCTCTCACTGTTGATTGTTTAGTTGTTTAACTTTGTTTCTTCCCCAGTCCATTTGGTGCAATGATAAAACCTTTTGTGGAAGCCTTGCATGTACAGGGAGGTCACTCACCCTTCCAGTAGCAGTTTGTAACATCAGCCAAGATAGATAGAGAGATGAGTTTTGTAACATTGGTCAAGCTAGATACAGAGATGATTTTTGTAACTTTGGTTAAGCTGTATAGAGAGATCAAGGGCAAATAGCTGGTGCACATTGTTGATGTCAAGAAGTACTTGCATTTCTTTAAATGAGTTTTGATTTCATTATTTTAGAGCAAAGCAACATGTAGAAAGATAGTTACACAAAAATTGTTCCCATTTTTTCATTAGATCACATAAATATTTGCACATTTCTTACTGATTTTCTAACCTCTTACCACTTATTTATTGATACTGCTTTAATTGTGCAGTAGAATGTTATCTAATAACAATTTTCAATCTGTCATTTAAACAAAATAAATATATACTATGCTGTGTACATATTTTCACAAAGCTTTTTTTCTTAATGTGTTTTTTTTTTAATTTGATAGTTTTGGGATAGGAATAAAATAATTTACGAGTCAATTAAAAAACCTAATCCAGTAATGCTTGTCAAGACTCTGAATGTTTCCAAAAATTCTAAGTGGCCGTAGCTTCAGTTCAATCTTGACCGATAAAGTTCTACCTTACAAATATGTGACATGAAAGAACTGTGGCACTGATTGTCAGGCTCACCAAAACACTTATTAGAAAATTACAAAAAGTTCAAAACTCAGCCGCTGGGTAATTCTAAAGGAAAGAAAACGTGATCATGTCACGCCACTACTTCATTCACTTCATTAGCTCCCTATACAAGCACATATTGAGTGCAAACTCTCTGTTCTCTGCCACAACTTTTTCTCGAATTCCTGCCCTTCCTATCTTACCGAACTTCTTTCTGTCTATTCACCCCTTCGAAAACTTTGCTCCTCCGCAGATGCACGTATTCTTTCTGTCCCCCAAGACTCGCACAAAAACATACAGTCAACGATCGTTCTCTTTCTGTGCCCCCAAACAATGGAAATCTCTTTCATTACACATCCGCAATATACTGACCAACACAGCCTTCAAAACTGCACTCAAAACATATCTCTTTAAACTCTACTATCCTGACTGATTCCCCCCTCTGACCGATAAACGATGCTGCTGGGTGCCGTCCATGGCTTGACTTGTCAACAGTTCTGGAATGTCTGGAGTCAACATACATTTGTTTTGTTTGATTCAATTAATGTATGTTAATTAATTTTTTAAGTTCATGATTATGTTAAATTTTATGTGCTGCGTGGTGAGCTATAAAAAACCACTAATAGTAATAACAATAATAATGTGCCAAGGCCAGATATTTGCCATCTATGCCATGATGGGTCAGAGAAGCTGTGTACCTGATGGAAAGATTATATTTATAATATTTGTAAGCTTTGACGAGGCAATGAGATACCTTTTTTGGTTGTTGATGTGTGCTGATTATCCATTCAAAGATCCAACTTCAACCATTTCAATCCTCAAATTGAAAACAATTTTTTTTTTTTTTTAAATTTCAAACGCAAAAGTTTTTTTTTTTAAACATTGTCTGGGAAAAGTTGGTGAAATATAATCAATTTGGCAGCGAAGGTTTATCTCAAAACCTTTTCTCAAATCAAAAGAAAAACTCAATGGAAAGATTATATTTTTAATATTTGTAAGGTTTGACGAGGCAATGAGATACCTTTTTTGGTTGTTGATGTGTGCTGATTATCCATTCAAAGATCCAACTTCAACCATTTCAATCCTCAAATTGAAAACAATTTTTTTTTTTTTTAAATTTCAAACGCAAAAGTTTTTTTTTTTAAACAGTGTCTGGGAAAAGTTGGTGAAATATAATCAATTTGGCAGCGAAGGTTTATCTCAAAACCTTTTCTCAAATCAAAAGAAAAACTCCTCAGGTATTTGTTGAAAGTGAAAGACATGAGTATAAAATGGTTTATTAAGAAAACATTTACTTTTTGTGTCTCCATCATTCCACCATGTTACATCGGCTTCTCTCCTTCTTTCACAAACTCCTGCCATCTAATTCCACCATGTTACATCGGCTTCTCTCCTTCTTTCACACTTCTAAACTTCTGAGTAAAGTTGTCTGATTTTCATTTCCCTCTTTCACTAACACTTTGATTATGTACACTAGAACTTCGAGTGTTAGAAAAAAAAATAAGAACCCGTACATTACTAATATGACTAGCGATATTTAATTATTTCATGTAGTTGAAGATTAAAATAGGATTATTTGACGTATATGCAATATTTTTTATTTTCTGAAATTATGTCAGCAAAAAAAAATTATTCATTTTAATGTATTTTTTTAAAGAATACAAATTGACTAATTTTTGTAAATTTAAATTAAAACTTATGTTTTTACAACATGTTATGTTATTTGATTTTTATATTTGTGTTTCATGACTAAAATCAAAGTTCTGTTTTTTTGGGACTTTCTATAAAGAAAGTCTGTCAAATAAACACCCTGTACATATCTGAAAGTAATTCTCAAATAAACACCATCTACAGAATCTAAAGTAAGTAAGTCAAATAAACAATGCCATAAAGTAAGGCAAATTTCATTTCTTTTGATTTTATTTTTAAGTCCGAAAAAAATATTCCACAAATTATTTAAAATATGCAGCAACATAAAATGTAATTTGTTCAACTATTTAAAAACATAAATCAACTCTCATAGTACATTAGTTACCTCTCACTTGTTCATGGAACACTCTCATAAGTGCATGGAACACTCTCTTAGTAAATTAATCACCTCTCGTAGTACATGGAACACTATCATAGTACTTTAGCCACCTCTCATAGTACATTGGACACTCTCATACTACATAGGACACTCTCATGCTACATGTGACACTCTCATGCTACATGTGACACTCTCATACTACATGGAACACTCTCATAGTACATGGGACTCTCTCTTAGTACATGGGACACTCTCATAGTACATGGGACTCTCTCATACTACATGAGACACTCTCTTACTACATGAAACACACTCATAGTACATGGAACACTGTCATACTACAAGAGACACTCTCATACTACATGGAACACTCTCATAGTACATGGAACACTCTCATAGTACATGGAACACTCTCATACTACATGAGACACTCTCATACTACAGGGAACACTCTCATAGTACATGGGACTCTCTCATAGTGCATGGGACACTCTCCTAGTACATGGGACACTCTCATAGAACATGGAACACTCATAGTACATTGAACACTCAGAACATGTGACACTCTCATAGTACATGGAACACTCGCATAGTACATGGAACACTCATAGTACATGGAACACTCTCATAGTACATGGAACGCTATCATAGTACATGGAACACTCCCTTAGTAAATTAATCACCTCTCGTAGTACATGGAACACTATCATAGTACTTTAGCCACCTCTCATAGTACATTGGACACTCTCATACTACATAGGACACTCTCATGCTACATGTGACACTCTCATACTACATGGAACACTCTCATAGTACATGGGACTCTCTCATAGTACATGGGACACTCTCATAGTACATGGGACTCTCTCATACTACATGAGACACTCTCTTACTACATGGAACACACTCATAGTACATGGAACACTGTCATACTACAAGAGACACTCTCATACTACATGGAACACTCTCATAGTACATGGAACACTATCATAGTACATGGAACACTCTCATAGTACATGGAACACTCTCATACTACTTGAGACACTCTCATACTACAGGGAACACTCTCATAGTACATGGGACTCTCTCATAGTGCATGGGACACTCTCCTAGTACATGGGACACTCTCTGGTACATGGAACACTCTCATAGTACATGGAACACTCATAGTACATTGAACACTCAGAACATGGGACACTCTCATAGTACATGGAACACTCGCATAGTACATGGAACACTCATAGTGCATGGAACACTCTCATAGTACATGGAACGCTCTCATAGTACATGGAACACTCTCATAGTACATAGGCCACTCTCATAGTACATGGAACTCTCTCATAGTACATGGAACATTCATAGTACATGGTACACTCTCATAGTACATGGGACACTTTCATAGTACATGGAAAACTCTCATAGTACATGGGACACTCTCATAGTACATGGGACACCCTCATAGTACATGGGACACTCTTATAGTACATGGAACACTCTCATAGTACATGGGACATCTCAAAGTACATTGAACACTCATACTACATGGGACACTCTGATACTACATGGGACACTCTCATACTACATGAGACACTCTCATTGTACATGGAACACTCTCATAGTACATGGAACACTCTCATAGTACGTGGAACACTCTCATAGTACAATGGGCATTCTCATAGTACATGGGGCACTCATAGTCCTTTGAACACTCAGTACATGGGACACTCTCATAGTACATGGAACACTCTCATAGTACATGGAACACTCTCATAGTACATGGAACACTCTCATAGTACATGGAACACTCATAGTACATGGAACACTCTCATAGTACATGGAACGCTCTCATAGTACATGGAACACTCTCATAGTACATAGGCCACTCTCATAGTACATGGAACACTCTCATAGTACATGGAACATTCATAGTACATGGTACACTCTCATAGTACATGGGACACTTTCATAGTACATGGGACACCCTCATAGTACATGGGACATCTCAAAGTACATTGAACACTCATACTACATGGGACACTCTGATACTACATGGGACACTCTCATACTACATGAGACACTCTCATTGTACATGGAACACTCTCATAGTACATGGAACACTCTCATAGTACGTGGAACACTCTCATAGTACAATGGACATTCTCATAGTACATGGGGCACTCATAGTCCTTTGAACACTCAGTACATGGGACACTCTCATAGTACATGGAACACTCTCATAGTACATGGAACACTCATAGTACATGGAACACTCTCATAGTACATGGGACACTCTCATAGTACATGGAACGCTCACATAGTACATGATGCACTCTCATAGTACATGGGACACTCTCATAGTACATGGAATACTCTCATACTACATGAGACACTCTTATAGTACATGGACACTCTGATAGTACATGGGACACTCTTATAGTACATGGGACACCATCATAGCACATGGGACACTCTTATAGTGCATGGGACACTCTCATTGTACATGGGACAATCTTATAGGAAACATGGAACACTCTCATAGTACATGGAACACTCTCATAGTACATGGGACATTCTCATAATACATGGAACATCCTCATAGTATATGAAACACTCTCATAGTACATGGGACACTCTCATACTACATGAAACACTCTCATAGTACATGGGACACTCTTATAGTACATGGACACTCTCAAAGTACATGGGACACTCTGATAGTACAGGGAACACTCTCATAGTACATGGAACACTCTCATAGTACATGGGACACTCATAGTACATGGAACACTCATAGTACGTGCGACACTCTCATAGTACTTGGGACACTCTCATAGTACATGGAAAACTCTCATAGTACATCGGACACTCTCATAGTACATGGGACACTCTCATAGTACATGGGACACTCTTATAGTACATGGAACACTCTCATAGTACATGAGACAATCTCATAGTACATGGAACACTCTCATAGTACATGGGACACTCTGATACTACATGGGACACTCTCATAGTACATGGGACACTCTCATAGTACATGGGACACTCTCATAGTACATGTGACACTCTTATAGTACATGGGACACACTCATAGTGCATGGGACACTCTCATAGTACATTGGACACTCTTATAGTTCTTGGGACAATCTCATAGTGCATGGGACACTCTTATAGTACTTGGGACGCTCTCATAGTACATGTGACACTCTCATAATACATGGGACACTCTTTTAGTACATGGGACACTCTCATAGTACATGGGACACTCTTATAGTACATGGGACACTCTCATAGTACATGGGACACTCTTATAGTACTTGGGACAATCTCATAGTACATGGGACACTCTCATTGTACATGGGACACTCTCATAGTACATGGGACACTCTTATAGTACATGGGACACTCTCATAGTACATGGGACACTCTGATAGTAAATGGGACACTCTCATAATACATGGAACACTCTCATAGTACTTGGGACAGTCTCATAGTACATGGGACACTCTTATAGTACATGGAACACTCTCATAGTACATGGGACACTCTCATAGTACATGGGACGCTCATATTACAATGGACATTTTCATAGTACATGGAACACTCTCATAATACATGGAACATCCTCATAGTACATGGAACACTCTCATAACCATCAAGATGTTATTGGGTCATTTTCCATTAGATTTTGTGTATTATGTTAAAACAATGGAGATGACAACAACCATTATAAATCTTCCATTGAATAAGGTAGACTTTAACAATATTTCTGTTCAAAACATTATAACATATGGGCAGAAATAGCAATCATGTCATAATACAAAAACAATTATGATAGCTACATTTGTGTATAAGCACATACATTTTACACTTAGTTTCCTAGGAGTAAGCTAAGTCTAACATCTACAACTGAGGCTTCCTTACAAAGCTGAGGCTACCTTCTACAGCTGAGGTTTTCCTTCTACAGCTGAGGTTTTTCTTCTTCAGCTGAGGTCTTCCTTCTACACCTGAGGTCTTCCTTCTTCCTTCTACAGCTGAGGTCGTCCTTCTACAGCTGAGGTCTTCCTTCTACAGCTGAGGTCTTCCCTCTACACCTGAGTTCTTCCTTCTACAGCTGAGGTCGTCCTTCTACAGCTGAGGTCTTCCTTCTACAGCTGAGGTCTTCCTTCTACATCTGAGGTCTTCCTTCTACATCTGAGGTCTTCCTTCTACACCTGAGGTCTTCCTTCTACAGCTGAGGTCTTCCTTCTACAGGGAGGGAACGGACGTGCCTACGGCTCATTTTTTGACCGATAGAATTTATATTGTATTCTCTTTTGCTTTAACCATCAAACCATTGATTAAACTTAATCTCATACATAAAAAGGAGATTAGCTCTTCTACTTTAAATGTAAATTACGGCAGCATGGGACGTCATTTGGGTAAGGTAGGGTGGGGCATTTGCCCCCCACCCTGAATTTGCAAGTTTTATTTAAATTGCTATGTAACTTGAAAAAAACCTGAAATGACGTCCCTGGCGTCATGTATTATTATGGCATCCTTCCGTCTTGGTGAGACGATGGAGTAGCTATATAGTTCTACACTTTGACAAGTAGCTCACTAGGCCAATCCTTGAATGGCAATCACGGCCGCATCTCTCGCAGGAGAATGTTGAATCCCAGTAAATTCTTGATTTTCG